GGAGTCAGATTTACTCCTGGAGATCGTACTGTGGATACAAATGGTGAGAGGTTCATTTATAATCAGCGTTCATTTATTTTTATTTTTGTGATTGGTGAATTATGTATTGGAATGGCCCCATACCCAATAATACTCTCTAGCATACTAAGTTCCAGCTTTGAAAAAATCAAAAGGAATTATATCTATTAGTTGATTGAGCTCTTTGTTTTTGACTGGTATGGAATTCTTTAAAGAATTTGATTCAATAAATCTCTCTCTCTCTCCCTTTTTTGTCTTTGCCATGGATTTCTGGAAAAGGCTAATATATCTCTCATATATTACAAAATAAGGTAGTTTAACTTCGATGGATGGATGATGACAGATTAATTTGTAGTAAAGGTCTGCAAACTCTGAATTAGTCGGTTAGAGTCCATGCTACCACTTCTATGTGCAGAAGCAAATATTTTGCATTTCCATTAATTTTTTTGGAACAATGTATAATTTTTTCCTGGTGATATAGGTGGCGGCTTGTCCCTTGCAAGTAAGTTAAGGAGCTTGTCATCTGATAGCTTTGTTCACCTTTTAGATGCTATCTTCAAGATTGTACAGGTAATGTATCTACTTTCATTTGTGTTGTTTGTTGAAGGCGCTTGTGGGAAACCTATATTTTCTAAATCCTGCATAGATTCCGAAGTGTATGCTTGAGTGGTTTTGTTGAGAATAGATTCTGTCATAGTATGTACTTGGGCTTCGTGGGAGCAATTGAACTATTTCTTATAGTTCAGCAATGGTCCGGTGGTCAGATAGTACCATTTGTTATTAAGCCTGCATAACTTGAATGATCATCCAAATCAAAATGGTACTTGTGCGTTATGTAAAGTCAAGATCCCTGCTTTCTTGAGCAAAGTTCAACATCTCAGCTTAAACAGAGACTGGGATTCATCTGGAAACATGGGGGACTTGTACTTGAAATATGAAGGGGCTGAGGGCAATAATCTTCTCTGTGGTAACCTTGAATTATGCATAAGATGTTTATTTGGCACTTTGAGGAAATATTTTCTGAGATGTTGCTTAGAGTGCTGTGAATTTAGATGGATCCTTAGGGTACTTTTGAAGTCCAAGTATCTGGGGTGTAGGTCTCCAGCTTATTTGTGTGCTTAGCTAATCTTCTTTTTTTGTTTTTTTTTCCTTTTGAATTAGAAGACTTATTATGAAAAGTTACTGCTTGGGTATGATGTAATGTAATTTCACTTCTTTTAGTGAATACAGGCACATTTAGTTCGAGCTGCTGAAGTGAAAAAGGCCATTGAGTGGATTATGTGTAATCTTGATGGTCATTACGCTGCAGACTCAGTTGCAGCTGCAATTGCCCATGGTGCAGCAGCTGCAGAATCAGCTGAGGACACTTACAGTCAAGTTGGTTCACCTCTGCCATATTCATCTCTTCGAAGTGTTGCGAAGGTCCCTTCATTGCAGGGAAAGGCAAATGATGCATCCAACCCCTCAAACATGTCAAGAAATTTCAGGTATGATTCTTATTCCTATTTGCTCTTAATATTTTCATGTTATTATTGAGATCCACATCTAAATCTTAAACTTTTTCCTGCTTTCTTGTAATATTTTGGAAAACTGCATTTGATATTTGGTGGTGATTAGGTTGAATGATTCATAAAGAGGGATGAGGGTGCATGACGATGAAAGAGTATGCGCATCCGCAGTAATTGAAGTTTTAGATTAAAAAAATTACTAATTAACCTATATTGGACCACATATGCCTACAGTTTATAAGTTAGGACATCTGGCTCGTTCAGTAATTCAAGCCAAACTAATCCCATTTGCTTGATAAACTTCTGGCTGCTTCTGGCCGTGAGATTCTAATGGCTAGGGCCGGCTTGTGGTCGAGATAGCGGGTCAGTGCTGGCCAGCGATTAGGATTGTGGTGGCCAGCAATGAAGGCTGGCCCCTTTTAAGGTTTTCTTATTTCTGCAATAAATTCCAAATAATATTTCTAAAAGAGTTTAATTTGTTCATCTAAGGCACTGATACCATGTTAAGAATAGTCGAATAATTATTTAATTGAATGTCAAAGCTCTATATATACAAATTGTAGAACATAAGAGGAAATAAACCATTAATTATATTAATTTAATCTCCTCTCTCTCTCTAAAAATCCTCTCTACTTTCTCAATCTTTCTCAACCTTCCACTCTCTACTATCTCATCTCTTTCTACCTTACAAGCCCATATTAACATGTCTTTGTAGGTCTTTGATAGAGTGGGTAGGCCGGGAGGCTGGCCAATACCTCCATCTCCCCACAATGCTTCCTAAAAATAGCAAGTGCTTCGTCCTTATCAGGAAAAAATCTTTTGACATCGTTTGTGATGGAAAGAAGCTTGATGGTATGAGAATCTACGAAAACAGAAGAGGAAACAAAATTTCTATCACTCTCAATAAAAAAGAAGTTGAATGGATGATTGAAAACCTAATGATGTCTACTGGGATAGAGGCAAAGATTCGTGGGACAGAAATATTAAAGGACAACATCGTCATCTCTTCCTAGCTTTGGTCTGGAACAGACAGGGCATAAATCTTGTATGATCGGAAGAAAGAGAATGTTCTGTTAAAAGAATTTTTATCCCTGATGGTTTTGAGGCAGGGGGATTGCGGCGCATTACAAAAGCCATTTTTGAACTGATTGATATGCTTTTGAAGAACTCTTTTTTGAAACAATCAGAACATATCTCTCTTGTTTTCTGCGTTCATAAGGTACAATATGAATTCTCTCACATATCTTTAAGCTGCCCGAACTGCAAGCACGCCTACCACTTCATTATTCTGCTGGAAGAGAAGAAATCATAAGCAGAAGCTCTGAAATCCCCCAACTAACCCTAAGCAGGTGATGACGACTGTATTCGATCCGACTCAGAATCCCAAAAGCCAGGTTTTTGAAATTTAAAAACTGAAAAGTAAAAGTGGAAAAAAAATATAAAAGAGGGTCACTTCAACTCATAAGAAGGCCCACCATCCTAAGGAGCCCAGATTCACTTGGGCCAAAAAGGGGAAATGGACTAACGAGGTGGGCCAAGCAACATGAACAAATCGAAGTCTGGCCTGACTAGAATGCACCAACAAGTTAAGTGGGCTTGGAGAGAAAAGAAAAAGGATCCGCACCCAAACTCGAATCCAAGTTTGATCATTATATCAGAGCCACAAAGGAAAGATGGTAATTCGGTCTTGCAAAATCCAAGCCCTAGAATTTCCTATTGAGACATAGCAGCTTATGTCTTATGTTCAACCTCCTGGTCAGGTTCTCAACAAATTTCATGCAACCCTGTTATGAGTCTCGAAGAAGAGCTACTTTCGGATACGGGCTACGAATTGGTGGTGCATCATTCCGAAAATGAAAGCCTAACAGGCGGGTTCGAAGATTTAGGTAATGATAGAGTTCTGTCCGATGTTATCGAGTCTATTGATGCTCTTTTGAAAGAGAAGCACAGGTACAACCATCAACTATTCTCTGATTGGATTACACATAATATTTTTTACATCAGTAAACATCTTGGGGCTGCTTTTTTCAGTTGTGAAATAGAAGTTAAAAACTTATTTATTGAGTTGGAGAAGAAACTAGAAATTTGCAAAACCGAGCCTATACTCCTGCATACTAGCAAAAAGAAACAGATGGAAAGTGGATCTAGAGAACTAAAAGGTTTATAGACATCAATCAATTATGAGGGTCGCAACAAAAAGTCCAAGGAAGCAGAGGTCGTTTTCATTCAACCCAAATAATTGACAAAATTATTTCTTGGAACATTAGAGGTCTTAATGACCACAAAAAAGGGGTTATAATTAGAGGGTGCCTAAATAGATGGAAGCTTACCATCATATGCCATAAGGAAATAAAAATGGAGGTAATCATTGAAAAAACTATTCACAGCCTGTGGAAAATGGCCGATATTGGCTGAAATTTTCTCCCTGTTAAAGGCTCCTCTCGAGGTCTTCTAATTATGTGGAGAACGGATAGAGTTCAATGTCATAATGTCTTCACAGGTAAAGTAACTCTTTCCTGTCTGTTTTGTTACAACAATATCAATATTTGGTATTTCTCTAGAGTATATTGTAGAGGCAACTCAATGGAACGTCTTCTGCTTGAGGAGGAATTATTTAACGTCAAAAACAATTGGGGGGTCAAAGGCATTGTTGGCGGGGACTTCAACATGGTTTTGAGGAGCTTTGAAAGATCTGACAGTAACTACTCCAATAATGATATTGATGATTTCAGAGCCTTGCTTGACAAACTTGATCTAAATGATTTGCCACTTAAGGGTGGAAGATGGACTTGGAGTAATCAAAGAAGCCAACTATTTTTCTCTAGAATCGATAGATTATTTATATCATCCGAGTTGCTCCTGGAATTATCCGGTGTCAATTAAAATGTACTCTCAAGACCTACTTCAGATCATTTCTTGATCTCTCTTACTATGGATGGTATCAAAGGGGGCCTTGTACTGTTCAGACTTGACAACAAATGGCTGAGTCTAGAAAGCTTTAAATATTTAGTGACTAACACATGAACAACACTCATGTTCAGGGTTCTATCAGTTACAGAATTGTTGTCAAGCTAAAAAC